AGTGCAGTACATACCATGTCCAACTTTCTTTTGAGACAGGGTCTTACTCTGTAGCTCAGGCTGGCCTTAAACTCACTATGTTACCCAGATTGGCCTCAAACTCATAGCTATCTTCCTGCCTTATCCTCCCAAGTGTTAGAATTACAGCCCAAATGTGTTCTCTTGTGTTTTGTTTTTTGTTTTTTTTTTTGAGACAGGGTCTTGCTTTGTAGTCCAGGTTAGTCTTGAACTCACTATGTTGCCTAGGCTGACCTCAAACTCACAGTGATCCTCCTGCCTCAGCCTCTCAAGTACTGGGACCAAGGTTTGTACCACCATGCCTAGCTAGGATTGCCAGAATGTATTAACTGAACAATCAAGTGTTACATTGTATACAGTGTAAGAGACTCTTTGTATCTGCTTATTATGAATAATCTGCTGCTTATAGTTCGTCTATTTATAAAATGTGGATGGTAGTACTACATTAAATACTAGAAGTACTAAGTATCTGCTGCACAGGAGTGCCACTTTTTTTGGATAATAAATCATTCCTTGGTTTAATCATGTTGTAGGACAACCTTTAAAAAATCATTTTCAGGGCCAGGCACAGTGGCACACACCTGTAATCCCAGCACTCAGGTTCAAGCCCAACCTGGGCTACATAGTAAGACCCTGACTCCAAAAAAAAATTTAAAAATTTCAGTCAACACAAGCAAGACAAAAACATGACAAACCACAGCAAAATTTAATTACCTGAAGCTGCTTTCAATCAAGCTGAATAAGTCCAGCATGGAGGTGCATATCTGTGATCTCAGCACTTTGGAAGGCTGAGGCAGGATGATCACCAGTTTGAGCCCAGCCTGTGCAACATAGCTACTTAGCAAGACCCTTAGTCAAAATTCAAAAGGTATGGGGATGTAGCTCAGTGTGGAGACCTGGATTCAACCTTCCGCACCACAAAACACACACACACACCAAACAAAAGGTCAAATAGAATGATTAGCCAATACTAAAAGATGCTTCCAGAATCACAATGATGTATATCAGAGAATGATATTTACCTTTTTACTATACAAATAACTAAAATGCTATTTTTCTTTCTAAAATGGCACAAGGGTTTTGTTTTTATTTTGTTTCATTTTGCTTTTGAGACAGGATCTCACGTGCTCCCCAGAGTT